GACTAGTCAGACTGATGCGTTGAGAACTGATGAAGCCGCTTGGATAAGAGGCGAAACGTCTTCTAGACAAAATCTAAGTCCAGTTGCCTACGATTTAATTGTTGCCAGAACTTCTTTAAGGACCCAGTTAAAGGTGTATTGTAAAACAAACTAACATATCCACCATGACACAGCCAGATTTCGGTAACACAGAATAAATCAATATGATTATCTGATATTGAATTGATAGCTAACACTGCGGTGCTTCACCATGACACATCGGTCGACTGTAATACATACACTTATCAATTACATCGACTCATGCAAAATCCATGCAGATAGAAACTCACATAGAAACACACACAGATTATTCTACATACTCACAATATGATAGAACCCCCACTTTGTTAATGTCACAGTTAAACTTGGTTTCCTGGAATGTACATGGCATCCGCTCACAGGCGAAAAAAATTAAAGTGATGGACTTTGTCACAAAATTGAAAACAGATATTTTTCTCCTACAAGAAACCCACTTGCTAAAGTCAGAAGAAAAATCTCTTCAAGATCTAAATTTTAATCAAATTTTTTCATCCTGCTGTAACAGCAGACAAAGAGGTGTCTCTATCATGGTCCACAAGAGACTACCATTTACCTTAAACAGCACGGTAACAGACCCAGAAGGCCGCTACATCATTGTTCAGGCAACAATCTTTAACAAATTATATACAATCGTTAATCTGTATGCCCCTAATAATGATGATCCAGCCTTCTTTCACATAGTCTTCTCTCTACTATCTAACCTATCAGACAGCTCCACAACTATAATTGGAGGAGACTTTAACACAGTCCTAAATTCATCATTAGACCGATCTAGTAACTCAGCACACACAAAGCAATCACAATCGGCTAAGGTAATACAGGAATATATGGATGATTTTGGGCTTGGCGATGGCTGGAGACTCAAATACCCATTATTATCAGCGACCATGCACCAATATCACTCAATCTGCAAATAGAAACCATCCATAAATGGCCCCCAACATGGCGCTTTAATATCTCTTTACTTAAAGACCCAGACTTACAAAATGGTGAGACGGGAGTGGGCAAACTTTCTTGAAGATAATGACTCTCCAAATTTATCTCCATCTTTAATATGGGAAACTGGGAAGGCAGTAATCAGAGGAAAAATTATATCATACTCCTCCTACAAGAAGAAACAGGAATTGCAAGCAGAAAAAAACATTGAGGAAAAAATTAAACAACTAACACAGGAATATGCAAACAATCCAAGTGATCAAGTATGGACCCAATTACAGTGTACAAAATCGCAACTGGACAATATTCTATCAAAGAAAAC